GCTAATGTCTGCGCATGGTCTACGCCACGCAAAAAGAAGATGCCAGGAAGATCTGCGGACAAAAAACAAGCACTGCCTAAGTCTCAAGGACTCAGTTTCGTCATCAACAAAGGAACACGTCTCCTCATAGGAAAGGATTCCTTGGTGGATGAAGTCATATTCGAGAAGAGCAAGGATATTTTCGCAAGAAACGACCATCTTTCTACCCATGATAGAAGAAGTAAAAATATAGAAGAAAAAGAGATAATTACCTTCTAATAAATCACCGGTAATCGAAAGATAGCAAGGAAGAGTAAAGAAAATCGTGAGACAAATCATATCTATTTATACTGAAAAAACAACTGATTTGACCGCTTGATAACAGCTAATAACCCGTCTGTTAGAATTTGAATTATTCAAGTCGTTAAGGGTTAAATTCAAAATATTACCATTATCTCCTTTTTTTATTTTCTTGAAGTTATTCCTTCAATATTCTCGAAACTAACTCATTTATTTTTCAGGAATAACTTGGGGGCAATTGTTAGGGCTAGGATCCGGGAACTACTTTGAGATCCTCATGTCTAAGGATCCTTAAAGGCTCAGGATCCTCGAACCTCAGGATCCCGAATATATTCCAGGATCCTGACTAATATTATTTATAATAGCTATATGATCTTTTGTCTTTCTCACATGTGCAGAAATAACCAGTCAAAGTCACATTCTCAACGTGTAGTTGTCACAACCATGCAAAAGACCCAAAGAACAAAGTCAAGCAACCACTATAAGTAATCTCGAAGGATCCCATAATTTTTGTAGTTCTATTTGTTAGATTTTGACTATATAAAACACTTGTGTTCATTACACTACACACGATTTACTGGCAGAATACTAGCACTTGTACTTGTACTTATTATATTTTCTCTGTAATCATTCATTTCAATCAATAAAATATCAAGGCAGGTGATCATTATCACCTCCCAAGGTTTTATGTCGGAGATCTTAACAAGGATCAAGGGCTTTCCTTGCAAACCATTTGTGTAACATTGTTCTAATTTCATTAATCAATTCATTAACAACACCACAACATCTCATACACTTTTGTTGATTTTCACTTAGTTGATTTTTGACCAAAACAATAACGTCTAGAGATAACATTGATTACCTTGGCATCGGCAGGGAGGGATCCTGGTTTTTCTAGGATCTTATGAGGATCCTGATCCTTTTCTTTGGATCTTTCTTTTCTTCTTCCAAGGATCTCTTTGAGGTATCCCTTGCCTAGGAGGCAACTATTCTCCTTCCTAAGGGCAATACAATCTTCTCTAATGTAACCAAAGTCTTTGTGGTATGCACATCACATTGACTTATCTTTCCAGACATTAGACTTTTCACCCTTTCTTGGGAATCTCGCTTTGTCGCCATGATCTTGCGTAGCGAATATTTAACCTGAAACATCCACAAATCAGCAATAGTCAATAATATTGGGAAATTCTTCTTCCTCTCATTCATCTTCAAGGGATTTAACAGTATGACGATCAAGTTTTGAATATAGTTTCGACTTATATCATCTTTGGACTGAGGAGTCGGACTTCCTATTGGAGTTATCGTATAAGTTTGGTGGGATGCTCCTCTTTTGGATCTACTTGTCTCCTTCGAGCCTTATGAACCTTAGTGCTATGTTTTTTACTTCATCCATTCTTTTGCATGGAGTCATTACAAGGTCTTCCTAGAAAGGATAGTCCTTCTTTAAGCATATTTTGAAGGATTCTATAGAAGTTGTCATATCGATGGTGGTGATACTCAGAGCCTCCCTACCAAACCTATTCACAAAATCTGTAAAGGATTCCTTCGAATCCTGCACTACCCGGTAAAGATAACTAGTGATTTTTTCGAATGTTCTACTATAAGAAAATTGATTGCTAAAAAGATTAACTAAGTGAGCAAATGAAGTAATAGAGTAAGGAGGAACGTTAAGAAGCCATTTTAAGGTTGATCCTATGAGGGTCAAACAGAAACCCTTGCATAGGCAAGCTTCCTTCAAATGTGTGGGAATGGGGATGATCTCCATTCTTTCCTTGTATTGTGTCACATGCTCTTCAGGATCTGTAGTTCCATCATAAGGCTTCATGTTGTGAATTTGGAAGCGCTTTGGGATTTCATTATCAACTATCGCAAGAGCAAATCTTCAGATCCTATGGCTCGTAGGGATACCTCTAGTATAGGTTGGGCTACTCTGGGCACACTTGAGATCATCTGACTTAACTGTTGAAGTTTATTGGCCATGATCAGGCTCATTTTTGCATTGAGGTCCATAGAGTTAGTATTAAAAATATTTTTATTCACGAAGTTAATCCTTGTTATTAGGAGTGATGAAGGTTTCTTCGGGATCTTGGATCATATTAGCTCGCTCATTCGGGGTTGCACCATAAGTGGGAGCAGGTGTCGGTGTTGAGGATCCTATCTCCTGGCGGTTTCCTAAGGATCCTATATTGTCAAAGTTCAGGATTTTGGGCTATAAGATCGAGGGTGCTGATTTTTGTGGTTTATAGATCTACGCCCTCAATCTCTCCGTTTCCTTAAGCATCGTCCTGTTGTCCTCTTGTTGTTGAGTAACTTGTCGTTCCAGTCTCTTCATTATATCAAAGAGCTCGTTGTTGGAAATCGTTACAGGAGGATCCTAAAATCGTTGGAGTCTTCTTCGGCACCTCAGAAGTCTTCTTAGGTGCTCCACTAAGAGGTGGTGGAAGGTTTAATAGGAGGAATAGAGGAAGAGGATAAAGTGGGTTAGGTATACATTATTCTTGAACGATTTTGAACACCACGACCACACGGTGGGTGCCAAATTGTTTTGGTCAAAATATGAGTAAGCATTATTCAACCAAATTGTATAAAAGGCTTTGGTGTTTAAGGTAATGCAAGCATCAAATAATGATTAAAGTGAGACAAGTGAGTTACAAGGAAATCCATTGCTCTTTATAGGATCTCCGACATAAAACCTTGGGAGGTGAATGATCACCTGCCTTGTTGTTTTATTGATATGAATGTGATATTATAGAAATGATGATGATAATACGAATACAAATGTAGTAGTAAGTTAATCGTGTACATAGTGTGTGAATTATAGGTGTATTTATAGTCAAGACTAAACAATAATAAGTCCAATATTTCCGGGATCCTCTTAAATGAGTATTTGCACGTTGTTTGATTGGTATTCCTGGGTCTTAAGTCTGGTTGAAGTGATTCTTCATTGAGAATGAGTCTTATGTTGACCATTTCTACACATATGAGAAAAATAAATAGAAATATATTTGTTAAAAGTGTTAGGAAATTATAATGATAGTGATCGGGATCCTGAGGAAAGAAAGTTTCAATTAGGGCTCTAGACGGTGAATTGCTATTCAATTCAATCTTACTATTTAGTAATCATTAAGAATCATATGTTTTTTCTTTGTGATTTGAATTAGGGTTTATTTGATTTCCATGAACTTGGCAAACCAGATTATGTAAGAGATGCTTATGTGATGATTCTCACTATGTAGTGATTTGTTATCCATTGATTCTCACATTTGCAGTTTATATGAATCGTTTTCTGGGATATTATTGGGACACGTGTCATCTTCCTCAGTTTATTCATATTTATCACTCTACCGTAAGACATGGTCTTCCCCTATCTCAATTCTTAGGTAACCCGTTTACATTTGACTAGTTAAAAACGTTAATAAGCTCATCTGGATCATATAATTGCATCTTATATGGTTTTATGTGTTTCACTAGATTATATAATTACCTTTTATACGCTTGCACAATCTATTCAATCGGTTTTGTTTTGTCGCCATCATGAAGTGATATTCTTTACACCAATTTTTAAAAACAATCTTTTATCAGAGGAATCGAAGACTGTGATTAAAGGCAAGCTTGATCTTGTAATGTGAATGCTTGGATATATTGTTTTGAAGTCAATCTAATTTAATGTATTTGCTAGGTTTTGATTCATATACATTTTGGATTGATAAATTTTGATTTTATAAGGCTATATCGATGAAAAAAAACATTGTTCATTAAAGTTAAGAAAAATGATGTATATATTGTGGTGCATTTGTGTGCTCTCACTTTTAATGTCATTTTATATATTGATTGATTCCACTTATAGTTACTTCCAAAAAGCAATGCATGAGTAAAGTTTCACTTGTAAAATTGATTTTCACTTTATGTATGCTTTTTTTATTTGGTGTCATTACCATTGTTTGCCTCCCGATAGTGAAGTTTATCATAAATCATTTGAAGAGGTTGTAAATGTACATTGTTGTTCTTATCAGCCAAATGATATATTATTTGTTTTTTTTTATCATAATTGTAATTAAATTGCAATGTTTCATTTTTTTCAAGTTTTTATAACTTACAAAACTCTCTGCAATCACTAATACATATTTTATATTAAGTTTGTAATGTTAGGTCTGCCACTCAAATGGGTTAAATGATATATTATTTGTTTTTTCAGAATTCTAATGAAAATTGTAATGTTTCAATTTGTTTTCAAGTTGTAACTTACAAAACTATCTTCATATTTTATATTAAGGTTGTAATGTTAGGCCTCACAATCAAATGGGTTAAAAATCTACAAATAAAAATGTATTTACTTGCTCATTTTTAGAGATAAAGTTGTCAACTTGTAGCCTAAAAACTTATGGGAAACTCACATTCTAAATACGGTTATATATATATATATATATATATATATATATATATATATATATATATATATATATATATATATATATATATATATATATATATATATATATATATAATGCTTCCTCTTTTGTTTGATATTACCCTTCTATTTTCCTTGTCTTTATTTTCTTCATTCTATTAATTTGTCCCTCCTATTTCCATATATATATATATATATATATATATATATATATATATATATATATATATATATATATATATATATATATTATGGAAATAAAAGTTAGGAACAGTACCTGACCCCAGGTACTGTTCATCAGGTTTAATCAAACATGGTCACCACCTCCACCCCCATCCAGTTTATTCCAAACTCACAAAGCCTGATCTCGATCATTCCTCAACCTTGTATCATTGTTCTATTGAGTACCATCATCATGGTCGTCTCGGCTTTAGGTCACCGTTCTAAATACGCCACCGCCACCGATTTCATAGATCGTTTCTTCCTACTCTCAGCTTCTTATCTTGCTCGCTCCAATCCGGTCGACTCTTCCTCTGCCTTCCAGTTCATTCCATCTTTCCAATTGATTGTTCGCCACAGTCTCCTATAGTCTCATATTTCAGTCCAGTTCATCGACTCCCACAATATCGATTCCTCTCGCTACATACATCTCCGCCATCTACCATTAATTGAAAAAGATTGATGCGTTTCCAATCATTCAACAACCGACGACGGCTTCATGATTTTGAGGTTCTTGGCTTCGATTTTTAAGGTATGTGAAGTTCTATAGCCACGATTTTCATCTTTCTGGATCTATTTTGTCTACAACTGCTCCTCCACGTCGCCACCGCCGATGATGCAACATCGGAAGCTTCTTTCAAGAAAACCATTGCTACCAAAAAAAACCCTAAATTCAAGAACGAGGATGTTTGTCACTGCTCAATCAAATCCTAAATCACGTCTCTTCCTACTTTGCTTCACTAAAGTCACGTTTGTCAGATTCGTCAAATCCAACAACGATCCGGTGTTTACGGTAGACGAAGGTCTTTCTCCACAAATCTGTCGGAATTATCAGGGATTCAAAATAAGTTAATTGTGATTTCATTCACAATTTTAGGAGTTTATTACAATTTTATTACCTTTGACAATGATGAATATATCGAAGGTCAATACTATATTGCCAGATATTTGTTTTTTTTCTTTGTGTTTATCATATTATTCTACAATATTTCAACTATAACAACACTAATATTTACTCTTTTGTTATTCATGTGCTAAAATTTTGTTGATGTCAACCGTATGAAAGTGTATCTCATGTATTCTTTGGTTGCACAGATTCAAATAATTTTGTAGATGTTGCGTCTCACACTGATGGTCAAACCTTTGTTACTGAATTGGTTTGAATGACATTTCTCAAATGGCTATGCCTTTATTACTGGTATGATTCATTTCCTGTGAAGATAAAATTCTGAGCCACTCATGATTGCAACTATATCTCATTAATGTGAGTATTGAATTCATTCAATTAAGGTAATTGAAATTATGTATATTGTTATTTTGGGTACGGTGTTTACGTAATTGTAACTCAATTTTTTTGTGGATAAAATCAGGTGCAAGGAAGCTGATGAATTCGCAGTTATGGAACATGTGTGCTGGCCCTTTAGTCTCTTTACCTCAAATTGGAAGCCTCATGGTCTATTTTCCACAAGCCCACAACGAGCAAGTAAGTTTCTTTCAGAATATCTTTTTAAAAAAAATACATGTATTATATCTCCTAATAGAATTCTTCCTTTTTTTTTTATTGTTTTATGCAAGCTTGCAGCATGATGCGAACCTGATGAAGTTTATGCATAGATGACTCTTCAACCCCTAACTAAACTAGGTCAACCCATGTATCATGTTTTATTTGTGATTTTTTTTTGAGTTTTTAGAAATAGATTCTGACATGATGTAGATTTTTGTAGTATGATCAACAAGCATTACTTATGTGTGAAATGGTTTTGAAGTAAAACAAGCACCCAGCTGCAAAAACACATGTTCCGAATACTCACTTGAAGCGCAAGGTCGGATTAAATTTTTCGTTAATTTTTCTGTTTTTTTTTTCAAGATCTATTGGAAATGAATTAGGATTGACAAATTTATATTTTTTTTATGTGTTTCATCCTCTTTTCACCGGAGAAGCTGCTACATGGCAGACTTGACTATATATTGGCTTATCCAGATTTAGTAACATGGTTCGTTTTGGAGTGGCTGGCCTTAAATTAAGGCGTGGGTATGCTCGATCACAATCAGGAGAGCCAATCCATGTATTATTTTCAGCAACTCTTTTATATCAATGAGTTATTGATCATATGGATTATCATATGATAGAGGATTTTGAAATAGAATGTCCAGTATTCATTGCTTTATATGTTCAACACAAATAATATGAGAAATGAATTCGAGTTTCAACAAATGTATTACAACAATCTTTCTTCCATTTTCTTTTTTATTACAGCGTTAACTTACACAATATTTATATTCATTTGTTTAGCACTGCAACATTGGAGCTTGCCATGTCATTAAGAGATGGTTCGATAAATCTTTCAAATTCTCAGAATTGTCAACTCTCTACAAGATCAAACGCAAGTGTAAGAATAATAAGCTCTTTTCATTTTAAAATAAAAAAGAAACATTATTTTTTAGATATTTTATGTTATCTTTTTCTACTTAAATTACTTGATCATAATCTCGAATGTTGCCATTTTATCTTTTTTCTAAGTTATATTTTATTTTTTGATTGTCTTCCAGGTAAAGAGAATTGTTGTTGGATGGAGAAAGAAACACCAAAAAATGGCTCCAGAAGAAGAGATTATGATACTTTACTTTAGAATAAATTTATTACATTTGATATCTACAGGCACGAATTAAAAGCATAGAGGGAGAGAATCTTTCAAATTGATGACTACAATGTTTAAAGCTAGATACTTTTTCCAACAACTTATGTCGGGAGTTCAGTACTACCATTTCCTAGAGATTGGTTGAGTGGTCTCAATTGCTATACTAACCATATAAATCGAAGTACGTTGCTAATTTCTGCATGTAACCTTCATATGGATATCTCTCTCATCTATCTCATTCTTTTGATGAATTTTCCGTAGATATTAACATGTGATCAATTGGAAATTTCGGCAACAAGGGCAGATTGCCAGATTGTTACAACTGAAAAAAGAGAAAGCCAAATCATTATCAGGTACATATGTAATAAATCAATGATAAGTATCAAGGGTATTCTTGGTATTTTAGCAGCTACTACTACATGATCAAACAAAGTGCATTCATTTATAAAATCAAAGACAATACATAATTTATTGTGGGCGATTGTTTAATTTTAATCCAAAAGTTGAAGGTATCAAGATTCAATATATGGAGTTTTTTTGGTTCGAAAAATATGTTCATATATAACATTGTACTTTTAAAGCTATAAGTATGATGTCAGAAGTGATAAGTGGATAATTGGATGATATTGCTATAATACGATAGATTTTGCAAAATAATCCTCTAAAATGTTGAATTACTACAAACAATAACTAAATTATTAAAATTTCGTAGATTTGATTTTGCAAGATTGGTATTCAAATGCAAAAATCATAATTTTTATCATGAAAACATTATTATTATTATTATTATTATTATTTTGGTAGGTGGTAGGAACCTTGAAATACTATATTTACAACAAAATAAAGCTTTTATGTTGTTTAGATGAAGTCTTACTTCGAGCATCTTTTTGCCAAAAAAAAGGGTTCTTTTTTATTTTTACTCAAACCATGTTCTTCTTCTTCTTCTTCTTCTTCTTCTTCTTTTATTTTTTTTTAATTTTTTTTTTTACATTTTACATTTTATAGATTTAACATGTGAAAGGAGGTACTCTAATTTCTTATGATGGGAAGTGCAGCTTCTAGAAATTTCACAAGTTCCTGAAGAGCATGTGAGTTTTGTTTCTTTTTATTTTTCTTTTTTATGGAGAGAAATAGCAACATGCTTTTATTGAAATGTCTATTATAACATCCTACTTTCAATTTGTAATTAGATATTTGTTAATTGTTATCCATGAATTATAATTTTATTTTCTTTGCTACCAATAGCTTATATTCACACCAAAACTAAACTTCCATGCAGCCTGAACACAAGAATTATGATCACTACAAGAAAAGTCTTTATTAATGACTATTTTTTAGTGACGATCTAAAATTTCGTCACTGAAAGTATCTTTTAGTCACTAGAAATTAAGTGGTCATTGAATTTTGGTAATCATACAAATTTAATGACCAGTTCTATGTGGTGGTCACTAACTCAGTCACTAAACTGGGAAAAAATTAAACTACTTTTGTTTCATATCATAACAACTATTTAGTGACCAAAAACAATGGTCACTATGTTAGAAGCTTTGTGACTAAAAATAATGGTCACTATGTTAGAAGCTTTGTGACAAAAAAGTGGTCACTTGTATCGGAGGTTTAGTAACCAAAAATAGTGGTCACTGACTACTCTTATTCAAAACCACCAGCTTACACTTTTGTTACGGAAAACTACTTAAATGGGGAAAAACAATTTGTGACTACTCAATAGTGGTCACGGATGTAATAGAAGTAAAAAATAATTAGTGACCATAAAACAATGGTCACTGACTATATATGTATTATAATTTTCAATTAATAAAAATTAAAATATTTTTTTATTAATGTTTTTTTATTTTTGAAATGACTATAATTTTCTTTTTCTTTTTTACACATAATTTTGCAAAGACTCATTACATTGAACGGTCTGTATTAAAACGTACTTATTATAATAATATTTAGAAAAAGTTGAGAAAAACACATTAGAAAAAGTCGTAGTTGTATTTATATTTTGACTAAATAAGGAGACTGACTAATTTTGATTATAATCAAACTAAATTTGACCAAATTAATTATCCAAATAATTTTTTGTGAACAGTTTAATTGGTTTATTGTTATAAATAAGGTTGACTAGTTTCACTACCGATACAAGAATAAACAAAGAGTACTTTGCCCTAAATCGACTCTACACATCTCTTTTGCCCTAGATCGACACACCAACAATCTCCGGTTCAATTAGACACCATCGCGCTGGCCCATCGTCACCGGACCATCGCCGTCGGTCCATCACCGCCGGTCCATCGTCAGAAGATTTGTGCTCATGCTGGTCCACACATGCTTTGTAAGATGGCTGCACGCTTCACTTGCCTCAAGGATCTCGATCTCTCTCAATCCGCATGACGTTCGTTTTATCTCAGAGTCACTGATTCAGATCTATCGGTCATCGCCACTGGTTTCACCGCCTTACGTCTACTCAAGCTTCAAAATTGCAAAGGTCTGAATTAATATTCGGTTTGATTCTTTATGTTTTTGTTCTCGCCTTCAATTGATGTTCTGTGATATATTGGAAGCGATATGCTTGTTCTGAATTAACGAACCAGACTTGTAGAAAAGAAAATTATCCTTCAACTCAATGGCTTAAGGTCTTATGACAGGTGTCATCCCTGGTTGACCTTCATTTTGAGCTATTGTAGCATGCAAACCGCTGCAATAATTGGTGCACCACCATTGAACCGCCCTCTCAGAGCACCACCCTTGAGCCGGTCTGGTATAACCCAAAGTGCACATTTTGGTCCCAAAAAAGCAGAAGGTGGAGGTCAAATGTTAGGCAGATAGGTAGCGATTTGAGGTAAAGCATCTTCACCCCACATACCATAAACTCCATCATTACAGTTTTGCTCAAATCCACATGGCATATCAAATGATATATAATCAAATTGTGTATCTACACCTGGATTATGTACTCCTGTTGTGTTTATCCCAAAAGACGTATCTACCCCTTGTTCTTGACACATCTGAGTTGCAAGAAAATTATGTAACATTTACATATAAGTTTTCTATTAATCTTTAACTCATAGGTCATGTAACTGGTGTAAGAATCAAAAGATAAAATATTCACCTTGTGGAAAGTAGCATTTTGAGTGGTGTTTTGGGCATCTGGATCAGGTTTTGGAGCAGCCAACCCACTGGTTGCATCATCTTCTTCATCATAGAGTTGCAATAACCTACTTATGTTTGGTGAAAAGGATCTTAAACTTGCACCCTGCATCAAAAATCCAAGAAAGTAAATGAGAACATACATTTAAATTGCTGATTAAATCCAATAACATCCAAAAAACACACGGAAATAGACTATAGCTAAATGCCATACCTGTTTCAGAGAAGGAGAAGGAGAAGGTTTGTTAAGTTCTTTCTTCCATTCCTTGAGCATCTAATGAACTTGTTCCTCTAGTACAACCATGTTGATGTTACGACTATCCTTCCTTGCAGATTGCAGATCCATGAACATGCCTTGAAGATCATCAACGCGGTTTATAGCCCTATCTTTGAATATCTTGTGATATTTTGCACCTCTCCTCATTCGAAGAAGAGATTGATATATATGATGTTGTAAGTTCTCAAACATGATCAATCATATATAATCACAATAGATTCATTATTATGTAGTTATTGTTTTGATCTTTGTAGATCGATGAGTCGGATAAGAATTTTCATATGATAAGGTACAATTCTTAAGTTCTTTATTTTTTTTTCCTTCAGTCTTTGTAATAATACTTGATATGTATCATTTAGGGTGTTCTTGCTGATATTCTGGAACCAAGTATGGGGAAAGGGTTAATTCCTGCTGACTTAGAGACTTGGAAGCAAAGGAGAAGAGGTAAAGATGATATTTATTAAGCCGTTTTTTGTATTGTTTGATGTTGATTTGTAACTTTTCACAATTATAGCTCCTGGAAGCCATGGTGTAGATGTTTACCAATTGTTCAGAAAGAACAATATCTAAACTCGAGAACCTTCTAGAAGCAAAAAACTCACAAGGAGAACATGAGATTGAGTTAGACCTCGAAGCAGAGTTCTCAAATTTGGCACTATACATAATCGGTCTTGCTGTCAATGATCTTGACTTTTATCTGATTACATATTTACATAACATGTTCTGTGATTACTCCAATAGCTAATGAAATTGAGGGTGAATTAGGTTCCAAGGGCATTTGAAATATTTCTTCATTGTGGTTTCTTTGCAAGCAGGTAATAATTGACTCTAATACTCATGGAGTTTGAAATATTTATTTCTTATTTGTTTGACAAATGTTGTGTTCTATTTATATTGTGGGAAGCATCTTTGTTTTTATGGATTTTGACTTCAACAAGGTTTCTTTTTTTATTTTTATTTTTTGACATCTTATTGGTTATGTGATTGAACAGATTTGTGAAAGGACTGCATCTATTTCCGGTGCCAAAGCCTGATTCCAAATGTATAATCACTTGTGCTAATCAATCAGATTACATTTCTTTTAGGTAATTGCTTATCATGATTTTAATCAAATTAAATTAAATTTAACTCTTCAAAAATAAATAAAAAGCTATATGTTTTTACAGGCATCATGTCTACAGGCAAAGTGGAGGTCCTAAATCAGTTGATCTAAAGGAGGTTGGGCCTCGGTTTGAGTTAAATTTGTATCAGGTAACAGTTTTAACGAACGAAAATGACTCATAACTCGTAAGGGTAAAATGGTAATTTTATCCATACATTCTTATGCTCCTATGCAGTTAGGTCGGAACTTTATGCAGCACACTCCTAAAACTTGCTCCACATTTGTATCTGTTCGAATGCGAACATGACAAATTTACCCACATTATCTTTCAAAATAGGTAACAAATTTACCTATTTTGAAAAATATTATGGATAAATGCAGACCTCCCACTTGTTGGATTACCATTATGTTATGAGAAGCCTAATTATTTTCCACAAAATGATGATTTTAGTAAATAACTTGTTTATATAACCATGTTTTTATCTGCTATTAAATTTAGTTCAAGTAAAACTCTATACAATATTTGTCAACATATCAACTATCTGATAAAACATTAAAACATTAGTAAAGTTTAGTTTCTTTAACATGCAAGAAATAGCCATGTACTTTTTTTTTACTTTGTTTATTATAGCATCATACCCTCATTTCTTCTAATAAAAGTTTGCTTTGTATTTGGTTAACATTAGTATTATTGGATATATATTTTTAAAGAATCAAACTATGATGCCCTTTCTTAAAGTTATAGGCTATAGCATACAAATATATTCAACCATAATATTTACAAGATTGTACTTTAACAACTCATTTTAATAACACCATAACAATGTTTGTATTAGGGCTTGAGTGTTGTTTTTAGTATCATTAATTGAACGTTACAAGATTGGACATTTATTGAAAAAGTAAAATCAAATGATCAATGACATATTTATGAATAATTTCTGTTTTACTTTTAATCTAAATTGTTTTGTTATGCAGAATGAATTGCTAAATGAGGAAGCTTCTTCTTCTTGTTCGCTGGCTGAAATTTGTTATGCAGAATGATATATGAAAGGGCATTCTTTTTTGACAAAACAAGTTGTAGGCACATAAAAATTACAAATGGAACTGGAATTGGAAAAGGAAAAATCAAAAGCCTTAGAGGAGGAAATTCGTGTAACTAAAGAAGAGCAACTACAATTTCAAGATGAGTGATGAGTGATGAGTGAGCTTTCACGTCTATCTCAATTACATTGACCAATTGAATTTACTTTTAATCCACATTGATCTTTATATGTTTGTTTTTTGAAATATTGGATAAAATGTATGGATTATGTTTTTTAAAAAGAGACATTTAATTTTCATATTATAAATGTGAAGATTTATTTGGTTACTGTGTTGTATTGTAAAAGTTTATAGCATTGTTTTTTCTTGTCTAATTGGATATTGTTATATTTCATATTAAAAATAAAGTTTAAAATTTCAATAATTTTTTAATTATTGACCTGTTTTTTTGTCTAATAGGATAAATCAGTGACGACCTATTATGGTCACTAATTAGATGAACTAGTGACCACTTTCATGGTCACTAACCGGATGAAACAGTGACGGCTTTTATTGGTCACTAAGTAGATAAAATAGTGACGACTTTCATTGATTAGTGACAACATTTAGTGACGAAGCGGATCGTCACAAATTTAGTGACGAGTATATTTTAGTCACTGTTTAGTGACCAAATTTATATTTGGTCACTAAATCGGTTTTGTGACGGACCTATAGTGACGAAAAGTGACGACCGGAATTTTGATCATTAAATCAGTTAATGACGACTAATTCTATTGTTAGTGACCATTTCATTTTGATCACTAATAGGCATTTTTTTTTGTAGTGGATCTAAAAAATAGGGAAAACTGCAATAAAGTCCTTACATATTGGCTTCATAATCGATTTAGTTCCTATATGTTTTTTTATTCAATTAAGTCCCAAATACCGGTAATCGTATTCAATTTAACTCTTTGACCCGGTCAACAGGTCATCCAAGTTTCAAAAATTACATTTTTGGCCCAAATTTCAAAATTTATTACAAATTTGGTCCAAAATTTACACTTTTGGTCCAGATTTTAAATTTTATTACAAATTTGGTCCAAACTTTACCCTTTTTGCCCAAATTTTAGAATTTTATTATGAATTCATTCTAACTTTAGTTTTTTTACAACTTTTTTTCTCAAAGAATTGTTTCTAATATGTTTTTTCTTTATAAAATCATACTTATACAAAAAAAACATATTTTCACTTAAAATTTTTATATTTTCTATATAAAAACTTTTTTTATATGAATATCTACTTATAAAAATAAATATTTAATAAGTATATAAATATATACAAATCCGTTTTTATAAAAAAAATGTATACAAAAACCTATTTTATCTATATTTTTTTATAAAATCGTGTTTGTTTACATTTTTTTTATAAAAAACTTATTTTAATAATTTTTTTATATAATACGTGTTCGTATACATTTTTTACAAAAAAGTTTTTATATAGAAAATATAAGATTTTTATGTGAAAATATGTTTTTTTTGTATTAATATGATTTTATAAAGAAAAACATATTAGAAAAAAAAAATTTAGAAAAAAAAATTGTAAAAAAAAAACTAAAGTTATGATGAATTCATAATAAAATTCTAAAAAAACATATGTTTGGACTAAATTTGTTATAAAATTTAAAACTTGGGCCAAAAGTATAAATTTTGGACCAAATTTGTAAAAAAAATGAAATTTGGGCCAAAAATGTAAATTTTGAAAGTTGGATAACCTGTTTACCGGGTCAAAGGGTTAAATTGAATACGATTACCGGTATTCGGGAGTTACTTGAATAAAAAATAAATATAGAGACTAAATCGATTATGAGGCCAATATGTAAGGACTTTATTGCAGTTTTCCCTAAAAAAATAACTTATATGACGTAGTTCAAAAACAGCGGAGTCGGGTCCCCTTTCTAATTTATAATAACGATGATAAACTTATTAGTATACATCAATCATTATATACAAATTTTGTGAGCATTTGTATTATTAAATACGGAGTAATTATTTTTTTACTTTATAAATTATTTTTTATCGTTAAACTAATAGATGGGAACTGATTTGTACGAATCACTTCCCCTAATAGATCACTAGAAACAACATAGTGTTTTTATGACGGGTAGGAACCGAACGTTCACCGTAATCTCCACTCTTCTAGTCTTGATACATGGACTTAGTCAGATACATATCATGCCGTTAAAAATATAAAATGAAATAAAATAAAAGTCATGATAACGACTACACTACTTTCCATGAATTTTATTTATATACCATTCAATTTCTTTATGAAAAGTCAAGTCCTAGTCTCCTACTCGATTAAACAAGTTTGATTGGCTTATAAAATACGGCAAGTTGACTCCGTAAATTTCTCGTATAAAACGCGCAATAAATTTTTCTTTATCTTATATACCATATTTAATAAAAGCTAGTTGTATTTTTTAAGTAAACGTGTAGGATTACAATTTGTGTTACATGCTCACAACTGTCATATATTTTAATTCAATACACCTAGTTAACATCTCAAAGCTTTTGGTTTTCATTAAGCAAATAAGCAAATGGTTTGTAGTCCAGCGGTATCAGGTGGTGCCCTCCCTCTTTGAGGTCGAAGGTTCAAATCCCGTTGTGGACATAGGTGGAATAGGTGTTGTTAGCTTAGGAGTAGATTACATTTGCCGATTCAAAAAAAAAAAAAAAAAAAAAAAAAAAAAAAAAGCCTAAAACTAAATCAACAAAACCTTAAAAAAAAAAAACATAAAAAAATGTCTACATACTATAAGAAACAATACTACAATGTATGGGGCTGTTGACATGCGTCCTAATTCCAAGGTATCGTAACTCTTCAACAGTCAGATTTCTATAGAAAATCCAAACATTGCCATGGAAAATCCAAACGACGTCCTCTCCAAAAGCAAGAGTTAATGATCATTCTTCTATTTCTTATTCAAGATTTCAAGTTAATTGTTTTCTTTCATTCTTTTCTGATTTTCTGAATTCGTCCACAACAACCGTTAGTGAATCGAATGTTATTTTAGAATTGAGAGACTGATTGTGTCTCGTTCTTTTCACGATTTCAGAAAAACGGAAAACTCTATTGTTTCCCTTCTTGTTGTTGATTTCCTTTTTCTGATATAGCACCAATGGGAAGTTAATCAGGTTATTTAATTTATTTTAGGAATCTTGCTTAGAGGTTTTAATCGAGAGTTCCAGTCACTGCCTCAAATTGGATTTCTTTCTCAATTTCTAGAAATTTGAAGGTTCCGCTTTCAGAATAAACAGTTAGAGAGAAATTGATTTATGATAATATGACTGTGAATCTCTGTATGTTCTATCGCTCTTGAAATTTCTTATTCTTGTTTTTTTATATTCGATTTTTATGAGGCTATTCAAGTTAGAGACATAATCAAATGTTAATATTTTTGAATTAGAGACACTTCTTGAACTTTATTGCTTAATTTCAATTTGTAATGTTAATATTCTTATTTTTTATTTATGAATGGTACTCTTTTTTATTTCTATTTCTATGTTTTTGATATGTATAGAATTTTCTATTGTTGAATAGTTTTTTCGACTACTTCCAGGTTATTAACAACAACAAGTATTCTGGATTTAAGCAATTCACCTAACAACTTTTTGTCGATGATAAATCTACTTCAGTTGGAGGTCAACAACTTATGTATAGAAACAGAACTGAACAAGTTAATGAAGAAACAAAGATGATGAGACTTTAGTATTTTTGTACTTCTAATAGCATTGTATTTTTAGTTTTCTCATTCTTGTGTACGAATTTAAATGTATTGTTATGTATGTGTAAAGTAATGTAATATACGAATACATAAAATTTTCGAAAGGGCTCCATTTTTTATTTTGCCCCGGGCCTCCAATTGTCTTAGCCCGGCCCTGCTCCCCCTCACATGTTAAAGGATATTATGGTATGAAATGTTATAACAACCACAAGGAGCAACTTAGAAATGTTGATGTGGATTAGTTTGCCACTAGCAAACACCACCTCTTGGTTTTTTTTTTTTTTTTTTTTTTTTTTTTTTTTTTTTTTTGCATTGATAAATTTCAATGGTGAACTTTCACCGATGTCGAATGGGTGTTGTTTGAAGGTTTGGTTTTCATTCTAAATATTGATTGGTCATTGCAAATTTAGTTTTATTATTATTATTATTATTATTATTATTATTATTATTATTATTATTTCTAAGGTAAAAATAACACCACATCCCACTCAAAGAAAAATTGTGACAAAAATGATAAAATCCTACGTGGTACA